TGCCTCAGCCTCCCCAGTGCTGGGATTACAGGAGTGCGCCACCACACCTGGCCAAAATCCGTGATTTTCAATTATTAGTTTAATACATATCTAGATAGGTTTCTTACATTTTTCTAGAGATTATAAAACGTATTTAATGTACAGTTACAAGAATATAGGATTTATGGCAAGCCATTTAGTAGATATGCTAATTTATTATAGTACTGGTTTCATATAGCAATGCAAAAGAAATATAATTATTCTGAAGTTGGACTTTTATTCATAGTAATATATACAAATTAACACCCATGTACACAGAATTCAAATAATCATGGCTGTATACAGCAGAAAAAAGTAGCCAAAATCTGGAACCTAACTTGATTATTTAAGGAGCAACCAATTTACTGGAAAATTATAGTGAATCTCTCTGCCAGCCCTTCTCTAAACATGAAATTCAAGTATTTGTACACTGTATAAAAAGAAGCTGGTGCTCTGAGAAAAGCAACAAACTTTTTTCAGCACCATCCAGCTGTTCTTCATTCTAAAATGAATCAAAGATAAGCCAAACTGGGAGCCCAGCTGCGGGTTTTGAAAGCCATTTAGGACAAGGGCCATCTTATCTCTTACCATCTCTCTGCCCTGTCTTCGATCTGGCTATCTCAGGTGATGAACACAGTCTTTGGGTTTCATTTTCTACACGCTAGAATTTTTCATTAGTTTTGTCCTGTTAATTATTCAAATCTTTAATTTGGGTCCCAGTACCATAAATAGCTGCCAGTGATTCAAACAAGAGTCCAGGTCTGCATCTCACAGAGAGGAATAAAGGAAGATCCCAGTAGAGTAGCAGCACACTGAGATGCTATTTTAGAAAGGGTGGCTATGAAAGCCTGTCAGTAAATCCCAGGACTTGCAGGAGTCTCAAACCCAAGCCTAGAGGGTTATGATGAAGACCTTGGACAGCCCTCACCCTCACCCTCACCATGGCAAAGAGGGCAGACAGCAGGCTCCAGCTGCACAGGAGGGCTGCAGTCAGCTGTTGTTGACTATTGTCAAATGGAGCAGCAGTCAGGGTTGCTGCATATTTTTCAAGAGAAGCCAGGTAGGAGTGTGTGGTGTGTGTGTGCACGCGCAGTGTAGTGTGAAATCTCTTGACTGTTAAGTTATAGATCAAAAAACTATAAAGCAGTGAAGCCAGAAACTAGGATATCTGCCTGTTGGTATTGGACATACCCCAAGCTCTGGAGCTGCAGGGCCAGGAGGCCTGAGCTTCCTGCCTGAGCGACTGTCCTTTACCAAGAATCAAAACCCAACTCATTAGATGCTGAACACATAGCATACAACCAAAGTAAACATTTCTCCACATGCTCAGTTATCTCTTAAATGTATTGCCTTGGGCTACCACTGAAAAACAAAATGAGCACTTACTTTAAAACCACATTAAAGTCCTTTTGGGAGCCATGAGATCATAAAATTCTATTCCAAGAATGAATAGGCCTAAGAATGTGCATCAACAGACCTGTCCATGAATGAGAGGGTTGGTCAGAAAGGAAGAGATAGCGAGCTACCTTTTCTCTATTGTTATCAAAATTGGCAAATAAACAAGAAAAAGTCCACTCATCTGTGAAGAGAAAAAATACTTAGTAGAACAACTGAAATTTCACCAATCAGCTTAAAGACAGATATTGTCCATAATATATTTATTTCCAAATACTTTAATAACACTCCTTACGTGCATATATTGAAATAGCACGAGCTGAGTGATTAAACCATACCCCAGTGCCTATTAGATACTTTATATGCAACATCACAATGGACAAGTGTCTGCAGCCCTGAACCCCAGTTACTGCACAGCAGGGAAAGTAATACATAGGACTGTTCCAAAAATTAAATTACATAATATGATTTAAAATGTATCGCATTTGGTGGTAACATTTGGCTTCTTGTTTACAAAAATAGCAATCATATATACATTTGCATTATATAAAATAGTTATACGTTTTATGACAGATTCTGGTTATAACTGTTTTTCACACCTTTACTGTCCTATACATGGTATTAATTGAGTCTGTAATATTAATTTAATTCCAATCAGGGTCAACATACTGAGTTCAGAATTGTAGAGGCCCAAACAAGATGAATATAAGTTCTTCCACTAAGAAATATGCACAGCATTCATTTTATTTATACAACAATCATTTAATAAGCACCTAATATGACCAGGCTGCACTGTCCTGGACAATAAGGACACAGCTCTGAATAAAATAAAAGCTATTCTGACTCCCATGAAAATTCTAGTAGAGACAGTTAACAAAGAACAAGTGAGGAACTTTAGTAATAGCACAATGAAAAATACAACAGGCTACATTTATGTAGTCCAGAGTGATTGGGTGGCTACTTTAGATTATTAAACATCCACAAAAGGGCTAAGAAACTGAGACAGAAGAAAGCTAGGCACATAGGGGTCTGAGGAAAAGTGTTCCCTACAACGAGTCTGGCATATCTGGGGAGCACTGCAGGGGCTTCTGGGGCGAGTAGTATGGGCAAGGGGGAGAATGGTTGTGAGGGAAAGGAGGTTCAAGAAGCCAGACCATGTCACATAAGGACTCACAGCAATGTGAATTTCACCGTATCCAGGAAGGTAAATGCCCAGCTGCAGGTCTATTCAATGCATGCAGCCCAAGCAAAGCACTGTGGGAAACCAGACTCAGAAGGCTTCAGGAGAAGAGTATGTGAACTGGGCCCCAGAGGCAGGCAGGATTGCAAACGTAACTCAGCAGGGAAGGTGACAAGGGCATTCTAGGCTGGGGAGTGGAGGAGGAGGGCTCGTCTGGGAACCTGGAGAAATGCCAGGGAAGATAAAGTCAAAGTGTAGAATCCCAGGTAGGGGAGAATCTTTAATGTCAAACAAAGGAACAGGTCTCATCCACAGACATGGAAAGCCACTTCGGGTTATTGCTAAAGTGAAACATCCTGAGTCAGTAAAGATACAATAAATATACCGTACCTCCTTCTTCATGCACTTCTATTTGCTGTAGACTCTGGAGACACCAATGACCTGTGGATGGGTTAGATACAAAGAGCGACAGTGAGCATCATCCCAATACTCTCTTGCTGTTACCCGGCCCCTTGAGTCCCCATCTGCATTTATGTAGCAGAAAACATGCAGAGATGTTTTCCAGGGAAGCAATCTCACAATACAAATCAAAATTTCTAAAATATATTTCTTTGGTGCAGCATTTATTCCTTTAGTAATACACAGCCTAGAGACATAATCATACCTGTGCACAAAAATTGTTTATGCACGCTGAACCCTTATGTCCCACTACTCTGAAGTCCCAGGAGCAACCCCTACACCCAGACCATCACCGAAGAAGCAGGGGTTCTGAGGAATGGGAGACCAAGGAATTCCTTGAAAGCACACACTCTAAGGCAGACTGTTTAAAACTGTGAGTCACAACTCATTAGTCAGTCATGAAATCAATCCAGCCAGTTATCACTGGCATTTTTTTATTTAAACAAACAGAATGAAATGGAACAGAACAGAAAGCATGAGAGTGAACTGAGCACATTAAGGGTAAATATTGTGTCTGAGAAACACATCACATCTATTTTTATACAAACATATACACAGCCATCTGTGTCCTGCACTATGATATAATACATATTTCTTTCAGTGGGTCACACTTTTTAAAACCTGAGAACTGTTAGTTAAAATTATTTTGTGAACTAATGTTTAATCAGAGTGAGTTTTAAGAGAATGTGCTTTCCCAGTGATAACAAGTGGAATCTTTGCAAGAAAACCCATTCAGTTATTAAATATATATCACTGGGAGGGCTGAGAATTGGTCCAGAAATATACACATCAAGTACTTAACTGTGAGTGACTCTACAAAATGCAGAAAATGTTATAGAAGGGGACAACTATGGCCAGGCACAGTAGCACACATCCTTTAATTGCAGCTGCTAGAGAGGCTGAAGAGAGGATCATAAGCTCAAAACTAGTCCGGGAAACTTAGTAAGACCCTGTCTCAAAATAACGTAATATAAAGGACTGAGTGGTAGAACATTTGCTCATTATGCTCAGGAGCGTGGTTCAATTCCCAGGACTGCAAAACTGAAAGGGCTTTACATTTTATATACTCTATATGAGCTGAACCTTCACGTATTTTTGTACTGTATTTCACTTTAAATAAAGAATAAAAGTCATGTGTCAGGCATACACTACCTATGTAGTATTCATTCAATTAATATGAAATATGACCATGTCTTTCAGCCTAAAGTTAGTGGGACAAGGAAGGAAATGAAGCTGACAATAAAATGGCATGAGTGTGAATGATACAAGTCAACAGGTGGCCTATTCATTTGGGCCCCATCTAATGTATAAAAAAAGATCTGAACAGGCAGGTGTTTGCACAGCCAGAAGACAAAGAAGAAATCTATGGAAAATCTTGAAAGAAAACTTAGTACTATAAAGTAGACTGGAAAAGAGAGAAGAAGAAGGCTGAGACTCCAGGTAAAAAGTGGGAGGTGGAAGTGAGTGTTGCTCACCAACAAAGCTCTAAAAAATGGTTATCAAAGGCCCAGAAGGCCCTGAACCTTTAGAAAATGATGGCATTATGAAGAAGAGAGCTGATACCTGGAGTTCCACACCATAGAGTTATATTTTTAATTCTGCAATGAAAATGTTAGCCATTTGTCTGATTAGATAGAAATTAAGTATTTTCCAAATCTTTCTTACCAAACAGTAGGTTCATACTGTTATATTAGCCATACTTTTCCCACCATGGGCCAGAATTTCCAGTCTTTGTAGCTAATAAATTAGGCTTCATGCAGCAATTCACCATCAGTGGTAGAACAACCGTCATGTTTCCTTTGTGCTTGAGACAACAGTGGAAAATGTTCAGTGGTTAATGTAAGTCCCTTTCCAGTCACTGGCTTTCCAGGTTGGACAGTGACAAAATCAACACTGACCAGTTCTAGTCCAGCCAGGCATTAACACATCACCTCTATATTCAATCAATTTTGCTTGATATGAAATGAATATTATTTACCTACATATGGAAGATACCCATCTTGCTGAAGGAAGAAGCTTCTCTCAGAATTAAATTTTAAATGCTACTTAAAATTTCAGATGGTATATAATCAAGTCCTGAACTAAATGAGCCAGCTCCCTGGCATGGTGGACACAGCTCCACACCTGAAATGCTGACCTAAAAATCACAGTCATGAGGAAAGAACGATTCCATTTATGATAGCATAAATTACCAATGTACATCTCAGATATTGGTGTAACTCAGTGATTCAAAGGAACTGGGCTTTGCTACCTCCTAAGGCAAAGGATTAGCTTTTCACTGAGAGAACAAACTTGCTGACATTTAGTTAGTGCATCATATCTGGTCCCATAGTAAGACAAGAGAGGGGCGAACACGAGAAAAAAGACTAAAAACAAGAATTACCTCACCAAATTAGAGGGCAGTGAGACAACTGTTATGGTTAGATCTAAAATGTCCCGCCCAAATTCTCAAGTATATGCATCCTGGAGATAATGTACTCACTGGTGGATTGATCTACTTAAGAAATCAAAGCTGAAGATGCTGTTAGGAGGTGAGGCCTGGTCAGAAGAGGCGAGTCACTGAGGGAAGTGACCCAGAAGGATCCATCTCCCTCCTCAGATCCTCCCTTGGCTCTCTGCTTCCTGACTGCCATGATGTAAAGCGGTTTTGCCTCACCGGATCCTGCTTCTACCATGCCCTTCCTTACCTCTAAAACCCATAAGTTAAAATAAACCTCTCCTTCAAGCTGTGTGTGATGGGTATTTTGTCCCCACAAGAGGGTAACTAAGATAACAAAGGAGAAAGTGGCTCTTTATCTTTCCATCATGAGCAGATAAATTCTCATCTTACCAATTTTAAGAGTTTTATCCCTTCAAAGGCTATGTATGTACCCTTAGAGGAGCCAGTCCTTCTGAATTACAGTCTTCCTTGCAAAGCTTCAAAATATATATATGCATGTGTGTGTGTGTGTGTGTGTGTAGAAGTGATTCCATTAGATTTCCTAAATTTGTATCAAAAGAAAAGAAATAATCATGCTAGGGATAAGAGAAAGCTTCCTGATGTGAAATTTGTCTGATGCTAACACAAGGGACAACATTTTTCGATTTTTCCCCTAAAGCTATTGAAGAATGTGATATATACTTCACTTTCTGAAATGTTACAGGTGTTTGCCAGTGGATTCACCTACTCATGAATTCACAGCTGAAGGTGCTGTGAGGAGTGGGCCTGGTTAGAGGGAGGCCACAGGGGATGTGGACGGAAGGCTATACCTCCCTCCAGGGTCCTCCCTTTGCTCTGCTTCCTGGCCACCATGACGGTAACCGTTTTCCTCTGCTGGGGACCTTCCGCCATGCCATGATTGCATTTTAACCTGCTGACTATGGACTAAATCCTGAGCTACAATAAACCTTTCCTTCAATAAGCTGTTGAGTGTTGGGTATTTTGTCCCAGGGACATGAAAGTGACTGAGACACTTTTCTAGGCACCGAAGATACACTGACCAACAAAACAAAATAAAACCTCTGCCTTTGGGGAGCTTACATGCAATAAACAAGTCACCTGCTAAGAAAATCTAATGGCAGTGAGTGTCACAGGAGAAACTGAGGCATAGAACAGAGGTGAGGAAAGATGTTGAGGGCAGAGTAGAAAAGAGAAAGGACTGCAGGCTTTGTAGAGGTGTTTAGAGAAAGGCTGACGGAAAAGCAGCTTTGGAGCAAAGCCCTGCAGGGGTGAGCCTAACAGACCTGAGCCAGAGTAGCGTCCCACAGCCAAAAGGAACACCGGGCACTTCCCCTGGACAGCTTGCAGAATGAAGCTGAAACGGAGGGAGCATTTGGAGAGGTGGGTGGCTGGGTACCAGCTGTGTGGGCCCTTTTAGATTTCTGCTCCTTGAGGGTTGCAAGCAGTGCGTCATGGTCTGACTCCAAGTTGAGAGAGGCATGAGGCTGGCCTCACTCTTCATCCCATCCACCCTTCTCCCATGCCAACACGGCATGTCCCAAATCTCTCTTTCTCACACCTCTGCTTCCCTTCTGGCTTTAGCCCCCAGCGGCCTCTGCTCGATGCCCCTCCCTCAAGTCCACAGCTGACTTAGGCTTGTTCTCCCAGCGTCAACGAGGACTGGTGGCCCTAAATGAGGATCCCTTCCCTGCTTGCTCCGGCTGGGCTGGCTACAGTGGTTCCCTTCCCAGCATGTGCGTCCATCTTGGCAACAGTGGTAAGCAACCACCCCTTCCTCTAGACGCTACACTCTCAGAGCAGTGCCCATGTCGCCTTTATGACTCCAGCCAGCCGCACAACGCCTCTACCGTGGGAAACACATAGCTGATGCCTGACGGGAACTCCAGGAACATAGGCACAGGGATGCAGAGGCAGGAGAAGCCCTCCTGGGTGTGGTGCTTTCCCTAAAATCTCTACATCTCAGTTTCAGGTCTCTTTGGGGGAGAACAATGTCTGAACACATTCCCTTCATTGTCTTTCAAATTTGATTCTGACTGCATTCTTCTGCCTTTTCAGCTTATTGTACACCAAAGTGACCGTGAAAAGTGTGTCCTTCCTCAAACTTTAGGCAGGTTTACACTTTCAGGTTCCTAAGAGAGATACCCTAATCTAATTGTCAAGCTAGAAATATTTTTAAATTTTGTGCTATCAATACATCATACTAACAGACACCAACCCAAGATGCCTCTCACTTGTAGGTGGAGGTACTCTGGCTATTTTCAGTGGAAAGAAACATGTGGGCAACCTGTTTTAACCCAGATTTTTCAACTCATATTTTGAAAGTGAGAAGACAGAAAAAGATATCACCAAGAAGATTGCCCAGTTTGAGTCCAGATATGGTCAGCTCCTGAAAAGGCAAGATTAGCGATGCTCATGTTAACAACTCTCACAGACAGAATCGGAACAAACTGGAAGAGAGAGGGACACCGAGATTTCCTGTGCTATCCATTGGTTGAAATGTTAGCACCTAATGGTGGCCACGATCCTTTGTCATGGTTGGGAA